CCAATTGTCAATGCTGTGGAACATCGTGACAGACAGATAACTGGAGGCAAGGCTTGTAACCGTTCCGGGGCCAGCCTATTTTGGATTACATTCTGTTATGTTCACCTGCAATGTTTATATGTCAATGCGTTGTCCCATCGTATTAGAAAGAGGGTTGTATTAATAAACACAGACTCATATCGTGGGGCTTACACAGGGTTTCAAACACTGGATTTGTCTGGTTTTTGATTTGGCGGAAGAGGAGTTTAAGAAAACGGTTTGGTCTGAAGATTCGGGGCAATGCAATTTGTTGAAAACTGTCGTCGATCAATGCATTAAAATGGTTCTTCTTCTCTGTTTGCAATAAAACTTAATGAATTTTGTTCAGAGGCCACAGAACGAAAACTGGATATCCCTAGCTGAATCTTCGTGATTGAAATATCAGAATTTAAAGTATCAACTTTTCTCTTTAAAAAATAACACCTAATCGATTTTGGTTAACATGGCGTATTTTGCTGATGTGGCTAGCCATTATTTCTATGGAAGGTTCTCCAACCATCCACATCGTGAAACGAACGAGGCCTGCATAATATACAAATAAACATGATCCTTTACCAGCAGTGGCGTCGCCAAGGGGGGCCAGGGGGGGCACGTGCCCCCCCTGGAAAACCTAGTGCCCCCCCGAGTGCCCCCCCATCTGAGATTTGGGTTGGTAAAAAAATATATATATATTTTGTTATATTCAACTCCCATCATCTGAGTTGGTTTTTCATAAGGACAAAGAAGCACAGTAATTCGTATTTTCTTCAAATGAGCTGCAAATGTGGCACCATTTTGCATCTAGCCCATCCTCCGTATGCGAAAATTTTCCAAAGGGGAGGGGGGCACCCCCTCCCCTTAGACCCCTCCCCCAGAACGGCGATCCGTATCCACTTAAGTGCCCCCCCCCCCATCAAATGCTGGTGCCCCCCCCCCCTGTGCCCCCCAGACTGAAAAGTCTGGTGACGCCACTGTTTACCAGTCCATGGTGCACGTCAAATACTGAAATAATGACAAGTTGAAGGTGGTTGCGTGAACGGAATATAGAGCATCGCGTCGCCTATTTTCAACGGGGGTTGGCGCCGACGTCAAATGCCCTCAAGTTGCCGCAATATTTGGAAAGTGATGAAAATGATTAAAATGCAATCGTTCTTCGGGGAGAAATTTTAACTGACAGACTTCAGGTGAGTTTTATAATACCCAAAGACGTAAACTCGTGCATGTGCAAATACAGAGTCGGGGAAGTATCCAAAAATTGTTGGATTGTTTAAGACGAGTATATGTCCTTACCTAATCTTCCATATTATTTATATTAAGAGGCGATGTACAGTGAAGTATCAAGATTTACAATTGACAATATCAAACATTGACAAATATCAAAGGGCATACGCAGAAAAGTCACATGGGTATAATTAGAATCTCAAAATCTTAGATGTAGTCCCACGTGGGCAATGAAAAAAAAGAAGTAAATTAGAAGAACAATAAGGTGTTCTTTATATTCAAAAATACGTGGCGCCCTCCAGAGATGTGTTCAAGGGCTAATGTGAATATATCGCGATATCTTTAGATGTTTCACTTCCTATACTCGTTAGGGATGATATTCATCATATAAAATTCTCTGATTTAATATTCGTTTCATGTATACGGCTCGCGGAGGTGGAAATGCATGGAGAGACGAGGGGATGGAATTGCTAATGATTCCTTCCTACGACGACACAGCACGATATTACCCTTAACCTTATCACGTGAAGTGTCACTGTTGCAAAAAGCTGAACTCACATGTCAAAACAAGGGACTGATAATTGCACGCCAGAGTATCCTTTCCCGGATAATCTTTCTTTAATGAAGGCGCTAAGCTTACAGGGTTGTGTTTGAGATTCCCCTGGAGTAATATTATGGTTGGCTGAGGTGTTTGAAGAACTTAATGGCCGTCTTTACCTTCCTGACAAAACATGGGCTTATGAAAACAATCTGTGCTTGTTGGAACGCGAATGTGCAATTCACAGGCACCTTTGCAGTTCATAATATGGATTTTTTTTCAGAACCAGTAGTGAAGCAATCAAAAGTCGTAGCATTAGATAAACACACAGCGTATTCATTGAGATAGCATTTCTTAACAATCCAAAAGATCGTGACGTGGAATCGAGGCTCAAGTGGTGTTATTTGAGACCGCAGTTAGAAGGAAATATCTTATGTCCGCAGTCACTGAATACCACTCCAATTTCCTTAATGCGTTTAGCCAAGAGACCCTATAAGGGAAACGCCTGATTTTTACGAAGTGAAGTTCAAGAAGCAGGCTCTATCTTGACGTCATACCCTAGTTTTACGATTGGAAAAGACAAGTGTTCGGAAGTAAACAAACTGAATTGATCCATTAACAAAATTGATTCTCCGTAGTACCACTGTATACACAGCATTGGCTGTGTATACAGTGGTACTACGGAGAATCAGATACAATGGTACTACAACTAAATGGCACCAATCATTTGAATTACTTCTAGGTATGGCAGAACAAGCACCTCAATCCCAATCCAAAATTGAAACACAATTCCATATTTGACCAACTAAAAAGGGGAAATACTTTCGTGAATGTCCACGACAACAATATATTTGAGGCAGTTCGATTAAAATTTTAATCTTAGTACAGTAAGATATAAGAGCCACTCTACAGATCCTTACATCCAAACATAGGTTGTTTTCTTTGAGTCTAGAATCGGGTGAACCCTAAAAGGACGTCCATTATCGGAGTTGTAGCTGCGGTTTATCCGACCTGAATCCGCTTCAGATCTTGACAAATTTAACCAGAGGAAAGCGGACAAAATCTATTAAACCCGATAGATCCCGACTAATTTCGTTTGTGCGTCACTCCCTGCCGTTATTGCAATCTCGTTCTGATGAGCAGCAAAGCAATTTGCAGCGAGCCAGTTTTTGTTATTAAACAGGAGCGCCACCTGATGAAATTGGATGCCGGGGAAGTCTTCAATTTTCAAACATTGATCTCTTACGTCAAACGGTTGCCTGAAAGGCTTAGAATAATCTTGCCGTAACTGGAAAAAAGAGTTCAATAACGGCAGACAATAAGCAATAAACGTGGCAATATTGGCTATGGACAAGTACATTGTGAGCGGCTACCTATATGGTTTTGCGCTGCACATTGATTGGGAAAACAGTGGCCCCTGCACGGAGTTTAAAAGAATGTATGGCTGTCTGCCTGCCTGAAATCGAAGGTAAGATGTGGTTCGTAGATTGGTCACTTTAAGTTTAAAGGTAGAATACAACACTTGCTTTTATCTGTAATTTTCAGAAATGAATGGATACGGGGGTAAGTATTTTATAGAAAATATTGCTACACTGACCTCTTTTAAGTTTTGTGTTCATAGATGCTGGAAATAAACAAGACAAAAATGCTGTTCTTGTAGTCCGGTTCCCTGACCCTACTTCAGACGAAACGGAGCTGTTTATAGACATGGGTGAATTGTCAGGTCAGGGAACGAGACTAGCTGGTTTGCACCCGTTTATGGATATGTAGCCAATTGCAAACAAAATGTGGACTATATATATTTAGCAAATTAGGGGCAGTTAAAAAGGCAGTTTTTTTTCCAAAGGATGGTCGGCTGACCATCGTTTTAAATTGATTAAAAAACTAAACTTTTCTTGAAAATTACAGTATACCAGGTGTTATGATTTCACAGGATGCTTTGAGAGTATTCACTTACAGTCAAGTAAGGTATTTCATAATGAGTTGGTGGGTTTTTTTTAATGTACATGTAGTTTTGCCAATGTTGTAAATTACCTTTAAGCGAAGCTTGGGGGACTGGATGCTGTCTGCTACCTTTTGCATATAATCAATGGGGATTTGGTCGTACAATGTAAACACCTAGCTGTTAAAATCAAATGAGGATACTAAACATAATGAGTTGGTAGTTTGTTTTTTTAATGTAGTTTTGCCAATGTTGGTACATTCCCTTTAAGATAAGCTTGGGTTTGGGTGCTGTCTGCTACCGCTTGCATATAATCAATGGGATTGGGTCGTACAATGCAAACACCTAGCTATTAAAATCAAATGAGGATACTGAACATAATGAGTTGGTAGTTTTTTAATGTAGTTTTGCCAATGTTGGTACATTCCCTTTAAGATAAGCTTGGGGTATGGGTGCTGTCTGCTACCGCTTGCATATAAGCAATGGGGATTGGGTCGTACAATGTATTAAACACCTAGCTGTTAAAATCAAACGAGGATACTGACGGGAACTATGTATCAATCTCCAAGTAGCATCGATATTATGTCATTTTGTATATCATGATGTTAATTTTGACTGCAGGCCGAAGCGATGCTATTTGGGTTATCCAGCTTCTATACATGGTGACAAACTTGATCTGCACCTTTTGATTCTCCGCCAGTCATGCATATGGCGAGTCAATGTGGGATTTGAATCAGAAAACAATACAAGTCATAGGTCCAGTACACTGGAAAACAGCACTCCGCAAAACTAAACATCTTGGCTAAGGGTAAAACCAGACTTAGTAGGTTACATCTTGGAGGCTACACGAACTGGTGTCAGGAGATCAATTACTGTTTTTAAACAGTAATTGTTTAAAAACATCATCGATTATGATCCAACAAATAAATATTAAAGAAAAATTTCAAATAAGAGAGCGTTTTGAGAGACATACCGTATCCTCACGATGACAAAGGATGAGCATTCTGGGAGAGCTTGAATTTTTGTTTTACAATATAAACATCACGGTAACATATTTACATTAAGGTAACGTAACATATCATGGTAACGTAACATTTACATCATGGTAACGTAACATTTACATCTTGGTAACGTTTCATTTACATATTGGTAGCGTAAATGTAATGACCTGCTCTCTGCTTTGAACGAATGAGTATTTAAATCGTCTTGAGGTAGGCCTCTTAAGCCTTAGCTCCTACCAGAAAGCTCGACCAAAACAAATAAGAAGGGGAACATTCTTACCATTGCTAAACGTGGTGCGGCACACAGAAGGATCGATAACACTTTATCCAAAGCACACTTGTCGATAAAATTGACTGTGTAAACGCCACAACTGCCGGTAAAAAAATCCAAAAGCATCAGGAGACAAAAATGCCCACTTTGATCCTTGTTTGAGACAGGGATGGTCCGACCAGGAGCATTTGAAACACCGATCACGAACGCCCCTCGCGAATCGGGTGAAGATATGACGGCCACATTCACACGACAGCACAGCACTCGATGTGTTGCTGATCCAACACCTGAATACAGAGTGGTTGGTGATTGGTCCACTGAGCGCGCCCACGCGCGCGCGCCACTCGGTCCCTGCACTGGTTGGAAGATTGCTGATGTCAAAATGACACCGCGCTTATGACTGTGCGCATTGAGCCTAGACGACCCAAAGCACGGGTTCTATCATTGTCACTTCCCTACAGGGCAGGTACATCGCTAACGTGCGTCGCACAGGTCCCACCTAGAGCTGGGGTTTTAATAGATTAGTATTGATTCTGCACTTGCGCTCTGACAAGCTGGGCGATTCCATAGAGCGTGCACAGCAATATTGAGGTATGAAGGAAAGACCGGTGTTTGAGTGTGAGGCAAGAGATGGGTCTATTTGTTGACAACGCCCAGTTGTTTGGTCATGCCGCGGCTCCAAGAGCCATATTTACATGGGAGCTTTGGACCTATCTATTTGCCTATTATAGGCCTTGAAAAGTACTTAGGACTCACAACAAGTGAATGAATGTATTCAGTAATTCTCCTCTGCAAGTGGAATTTAGCAGAAGAGGACAAGCTCTTAAAGGCGGGGAACTTAATTACATAAAACACATATTCTTTTACCGGCGGTTGCTTCGGTAAAGCCCAAAATGAAAACCAAACGCAAGCTCGTTTATCAATCTTAAATATCATTCCATTAACTCATAAATTATTCCGGTCGAATCACTGAATGGGACGACACCCCAGTCTAACAGTCAGCCAGACCATAGTAAGACCCCATGCATATCGTATTCGGGAATCTAGACTAATTGTCTATTAAGCAGGTTGAAGGGGGGGGGGAGTAATTATATCAAACGATTTTCTGGCGAGTTTGGTTTCGACGTACGGTACATTAACCTGACCGGACTTTACCAGACGGGAATATAATTTCATGCCGTGTGAACATGAACTGCGGTAATTGCGAGTATAATAGATTTCGTTCCCATTGAGTGCCAAATGTTTTCCTCGATGTTGTTAAAACAACAAGCAAAATGCCATTATAAACTGACAGAGTACAGGTGACATCGCAACCAATATGGCAGCAGTTGATGACTAAATGTCTGGAAATTAATTAGGTCATTAACATTAAAGAAGTCTTTGTACTTCCTTATATCATTTTTTCGGCAATTGGCCGTGATGCAAATTTTCTTTTCCCAAACGACATCCGCATACATGGTTGTTTAGCGCCCTCTACGATACTTTTTTGATACGCAGGCAGGTATATAATTATTTGTTTCCCCACAATTTGCGACAGCTCAGTCGATAGAGGATAGGATTTTGCACCGCGAGGTTAAGGGTTCTCGGTTTTGCACCCTATTTTTTTTTCCTTTTCTAACCTGAGGCTTTGGAGGATTTTTTAAAAAAAAATTCGCGGCCGGGATATCGCCCACTGAATTGTTCGACTTTTTTTTCAGTGGAGTCCCTTGGTAGAAGACTTGGAAGGAAATGAAGGAAGGTTTTAGTGGTGGGAGGAAAACCCCGGAATGATATTTTAGGCAGGGACTGAAAACCCAATCCACATATTGGCACAGGAGGGAGTTGAACCCGGGTCACAACCCGGGCGAGGAAAGTACGCTGCGCCGACCTGATCCCCCTTCAGATCTTCACAATAATTAATGTTGCATGGATGTATAGTCTCACAATATGGACAATTTTCAAGAAGTCTGGATGCAAAAGTCGCTCCTTCTTTGGAAGGATTTGATGAAATAAGCCAAATTTCAGATTCTTGTCACATTTGCTCAGGTCAAACCATAGCCCAGTGAATCAAAGCTATCTCATTATATATTACCAGTCGCTGCCAGAGAGCCACGGGCCCTTCTCATTCCATTACGCTGATTCCGAATTCGGTACAGTTGCGCGGGTTTCATCTGAATTCCCGAGGTGTCTCCTAATGCGCAACAACTACACCTAAGATTTCGGGGTTGGGCCGTGGCCCGACGTACTAGAGGCTGAACGGGGAAGGATCGGCATCAAATCTGACTCAATCCTCCTTGATCAGAATTGTATGGCTCAGGGGGTTGAGCAACTGAGCAAGTATTATAACGACCGCCACACAGCTCTCCTGTTAATTGATACTGTAGACATTGTGCCTCATGTCATACATCTTTCTTGCAAACAATTTACCGATGGTGTGTGTTTCTTCAACCACCGTAGATAAATGATTACACATGACTTAGATGGTGTAATACAAAATATGTTATCAACGGAATGCAAGGCTACTGCTCGTCCAACCAACGAAATAAATCCCTTAGGGTAAAACTTTATCCTGCTTAATTAATCGGAATGAGTTGAAATGACAGTACACTGCAAAAACTGCAGTGTTAAATTTACACCATTGGTATCTTTATAGGACCATCTGGTGTTAAATTTTACTGGTGTCGTCCTATATAGATACCAAATGGTGTTAACTTAACACTACAGTTTTTGCAGTGTACGATACTTCACTTCATCAAGATGATTTTGATTCTGATAGTTTAACAATGTACTAAAGATAAGCAAACATCGGAGAAGCAACTGATTGGCTTTGACTCGTTTTAATATCGGTTCGTCGGATGCCATAAAGGTAATTTCCCAAGTAATCCAAACCTAGGGAATAAAACAAAACAAAGAAATAGTGTCTGACGGCTAATACACCCTGTGGTGATTTTCAGGCAATTAATTCGGATCCGTCTCGATCTCGGTTTAGCGGGGCAGCCGGGCATCTCTGAAAAGTATCCGATGTTTCATCTACTGTTTCGATTTTTGTCTCCATTACAATAATCTAGCCGGACCGTTTTGGGCCGTGGTTTTATCACCCACCGTAGGGCCATTCATCACCCGTAGCCGTCAGCTTTAGTGACCGGTAATTCCACTTCGATTCCCGGCGTAGTGTTTCCAGCGAGAGCGGCCTCTTCTCGGTCCATTAATCTGCCAGATTGAAACGAAGGGGGTGGTAGCGAAGACGGGAAGATCACCCGAGCGCGCTCAAATCCCGATTTATTTATAATTTACGGTTCGACACCTCAGACCCATCGAAACATTACCGGGGAATCATGCAGGTGCCCTCGCGGGCGCGCGCGTATCGGGAACGGCACGGCGCGGGCACGCCGACTCTGACCCCACAGACATTTGGCATTCATCTAGCCTGATGCGAAACAGACCTAGCTTTAAGACAAGACACGAATCCCTTCTCAAAGTCTCATTCCAGAAACCGGAGCTCTGTTTCAAATCTGTGTGACACTGGCGCCATTTTCTCAATGGCTCTTTTTGCCCACGCGCACACGCCGAAAAGACCCCCCCCCCCCACCGTTGATGACTCCGGACTCCAGAGGGCGAGGGAGGCGAGGTGACGGGATAGATTGGAATTGTATGCGATGACCGTGCAAATTACCAATCCCCACGGCTTCCCGTGTCAGAAAATGCTCCGTCTAATTTCCATCTAGGCCAGGCGTTAATATACGGAGTAGACCTGTCAGTCGCACGATCGGACGGAGACAAAAAAATCTCGAGTTAGGAGCGGACGAAACTTGACTTAGCGTGACTCGAAAATGTCAGCGATAGCGGCGCTAAATCAGAATGCCTCTGAAATTCACAGCTGCAATTTCGGAGCCGATATTCGTCGTGCTCTCCTCTAGTTGCCGTTGATTAAATGTCACCATGCGTGGGTGTGAGTGAAAAAAAGTTAGAAACATTAATTGATGTGGTCCAACACTTCTAAGGAATCGTTAAAAGCCATTGTTTCTCGTTACATTATCTATCTAGGTAAGCACTTTTCTTCACTTTTGTTATGTCCAGATTATTCGGGGAAAACTTAAAAAATACTAAAAACTAAAAAGGAAAACCATCTGCTTGTACTCGACATCAGTTTTCAATTTCTATCTTTGCCGGAAGAAAAATACCGCAAGGGCATGTGGGAGCATGAGCTAAGTGTTTTCTTTATTCAGGCATCTTTGCCTTCCGCGTTAAATCGAGCAGAATTAAATAATCCCGGGCCACCACGTTCAAAAACCACCCCAAGCCAATTGTCAAGATATCCAAATGAATATATTTACACAACGCCAACAAAATAGGTCCCTGTCTAGTATATCAATTCATTAAATTACTCCATTGATTTTTTCTTTTTACAAACGGGTCGACCAACCCATTAAAAAAAACATCGCTCCTTTTCATAAATATCTGCTGACGGAACGCCTCCAGTGCAAGTTAACATTTGGAGAAACTTCCCCTAGAAATTAACCCTCGCCTCTTGAGTGAATTCAGATCCTAATGGATGTGCCGAAATGTCGCGTCGTCGGTATTTTTGTAACCTCTCCCACTGAGCCCCGGGTAAATAGAAACATGCAAGCAGCTCTGATACGACGGACGTACCTTTAGGTGTTTCGTAGGGTATGACTACACTGTTTCGCAGTCACTGCATATTCGGGGCACGCAGGTCCTAGGGTGCGGGTTTATTAGGCGATTTGTACGGGCTCCTCTTACCTCGAGAGTGTGGTGAAACCCGACTGCATCGGAGCGATGAGACCTTTTGAGATTGAAGTGTTCGATAGCTATGTCTAGATCTCCCATTAAAGGTAGCCTAAATGTCAAAGTCATTTTGTCCTCAGACAACGATTCAATGAAACAAAACGAGATTTAACCAAAAAAAGCCAAACGTTTAATATCACTATAGACTAATAATTTGCAAGTGTTCCAGAAACAATGTTTTGAAATTATACTTTTTCTGTTCAGGAATTCAGCTTCTGTTTGTCTTTAAACTTAACTAAAATTATAACACTTCAAACGAAAAGTTATATTTGATATTTTTACTTTAATGAAGGATGTTACATTTTACGAAATCACTGGAGAAGAATCTGAATATACTCTTCAGTTCACGCATGGGAAACCACAGATTTGAGGTTATTATGTGGTGATTAATTGAAAAAAAACCCACATATCTGAGGTAATTATGTGGTGATTAATTGAAAAACCACAGATTAGAGGTTATTATGTGGTGATTAATTGAAAAATCCACAGATTAGAGGTTATTATGTGGTGTTTAATTGAAAAAAACCCACAGATTTGAAGTAATTATGTGGTGATTAATTGAAAAAACACAGATTAGAGGTTATTATGTGGTGATTAATTGGAAAAAAACACAGATTAGAGGTTA